CGGGGCGATTCGGCCTTCCACATCGACGACCTTTCAGGTATCTCGGGAGAGATTGCGGGACACGAGAGCGAATGACGTGTCGTGCGGATTCGTATCTCCTACGCGGGTGGGCTGATTTCGCGCAATCTTGTTCCCGACAGTGGGCCGAATAGGATCTAATTTGGATCTGACAAGCCTCGTACATTATTCTTGCTCGTTAACTAATAATGAAGCACACGAAGAAAGAGGTGGAGAAGAAAAGAGAGTTTCGTCTTTATTTTTTCACGTAAATGTAATTTTCTCTTCAGATTCGTATGTATCCTGGGGAGCGTCGATGACGTCTGCCCAAAGCTGGCTTTTTTCACTGTTTCAGATTGACCTATTCTCCTGATTTACAAAGCGCGTAAGAAATATTGTTAAATAATAAATAGTTATTAAATGTGCTTTTACCTGATCAAAATATACTATTCAATAATTATTAATATAATTATTAAATAAAATATAATTAAATGATTGAGCGTTTGAAATTGTTTATTATTTAAAAATCGCACGGCTCGAAATTACATATACTTATTGTCTAAACTACGAGGCGTGTCACTGTTTCAGATTGACCTATTCTCCTGATTTACAAAGCGCGTAAGAAATATTGTTAAATAATAAACAGTTATTAAATGTGCTTTTTCCTGATCAAAAATATACTATTCAATAATTATTAATATAATTATTAAATAAAATATAATTAAATGATTGAGCGTTTGAAATTGTTTATTATTTAAAAATCGCACGGCTCGAAATTACATATACTTATTATCTAAACTACGAGGCGTGTCACTGTTTCAGATTGACCTATTCTCCTGATTTACAAAGCGCGTAAGAAATATTGTTAAATAATAAACAGTTATTAAATGTGCTTTTACCTGATCAAAAATATACTATTCAATAATTATTAATATAATTATTAAATAAAATACAATTAAATGATTGAACGTTTGAAATTGTTTATTATTTAAAAATCGCACGGCTCGAAATTACATATACTTATTGTCTAAACTACGAGGCGTGTCACATGCATAATTAAAGGAGAATTATTCTTCGATAAAATGGTTCGTCGACTAATATTCGAGAATAAATATTATACGGGCAATCATCATTTTAACGCGTTTCGCTGTAAGAAGGAGACTCGGGACAAATACCCTACGTGACCCAGAGCGAGTTCTACGTCCGTAGAAATAATTCAGAAGCACCGTCGGCGTGGCCCCGATGTTTCACGATAAGCCAAACTAATTAATAACGATTTCGCGTAACCGGTGTGTTGTCGCGATGAGGTGAGAGACGCGATTGTAGAGGCTTATCTGCCCTTTGTGGCCGCGCCGCGTTTCGGTATAATAGACTATCATTGACACCCTCCTACCCCCTCATTTCATCCCCGTTCGCACGGAGCAAGATTTTAACGAAATAATAATAATAATAATAATAATCGCGCGATAAAACCGGACGAGAGACTGTCGCGCGGGATTAGGCGAAAGATAATGGGATTACGCGCGATAACTCCGCGAAGTGGAAATAATTTCTTTGTGTTAATGGAGAAGTTCACATCGCGACGCGCTTAAGTCTGCGTCACTTAAGATAAAGCCCGGAGCAAAGATTACCGTAGACTAAGTTCAAACTGCACGTTAAATCTCCGTCTAAACGACATAACGTCGATACATTGGAAGAAAAATCTGGTCGCATTAACCAAAATTCTATTCGAAATGGACGAAACAGAATTACTCGATCTACCATAATTCGAATCCTTTCAACGCAACAAGAATCTTGTTTGCGTGACAAATCAGTTCGTCCATTTTCGAACAGAATTTTTGTTAATGCGACACAATTTTTTTTTCAGCGTACAATCGCATTTTACTTGAGATATGTAATATGTATAAATCTGGTGTGTATTTTGTAGAACAAACGCAACTTTTTGGATGTATGTGCACCTCGATCTGCCCTAATTAATTTAAAGTAATTTGATACTATTCCCCAAATATCTCGAGATCTCCCTTACCATTTTCGGACTTGAGGCGGGAAAATGAAGTTAAAGTAGTTCAAAAGCCCGGAGCACGAACGAGGATTCTAGGTCAGCCTGCGTAACATCATTCTATTTCTAAGAGAAATGTTCCAATTAGCAAATATTATCCGCGCGGCAGAAATTTCCAATTCTCTTTATCGAATTCAAATATCGAGGTTTCCTCGCGTTTAACTGTGTCGACACAGAACAACGCGGCAAAAGTATTTTATTTCCTCCCTTTCTCTCATATTTAAAGAAACTGAACAGCAAAAGCGCGCGACAAATTGAAAGGCATCTCAATGCGTTTGACACACGAATGTCGTATAAAGAGAAGAAACGCAGGGTCGAGAAAAAAATGTCTCATGAAATAATTTCGCGACGAAATCTCTCTTCAGACCTTAGATATCAACAACCATAACGAAATCAGATAAGAAATATATATCGGCTCTCAATATTACTAATAATAATAATAATATATGAATTTTAAATCGGCCAATATTTTTCTCGCCTATTTTTCTCCATATATAAATTCGAGATTAATTTATATACGGAACTTAGTAATCTCAAACCAAGAGATACAGTTCCGAAGAATTAATTTTTCGCGCTTGGGCTCTATTGGCCGATTTAAAATTCCTAAACCATAACAAACTTCACGAAGATAATCTCGAGGACGCGCGTAACGTAACAAACGGAGCCTCCCCGAATCTCGGAATCGTTGGAAACGCAGCGGGAGGCGAGCTCGCGGGGCTATCGAGATTCCGGCCTTGCACGCTCCACCCCTGGAGGAAAGAACCCGGAATTCCGTCGTCGTCGTCGTCGTCGTCGTCGCGCAGCGCCGAGCATCCGCGGCGCGCGCGTGTGTCAGGCGCATCAGGAATTTGGAAAGCGAGGGACGTCTCTCTCTCTATCTCGCCCTCGTGTCTCTCCACGTTGGCGTGGGTCAGTAGACAAGTGACGGCCGGGAGGGAGACCAGAGAGGCCGGCGGGATATTCGATATTCTGGGGAGGGATGGCGCTCCGGTGCCACCCTAACGTGGCACGTGGGGCGCTACCAGGTGTTGCCTAGACATCGGGTCGATGCCGAACGCAGGCGCATGTGCGACTCCGTCTCTCCCCATGTCACCCTCTTCAGTCGCCTCGCTATTTCTCTTTCTCTCGGTATACATACTGTTCTTCTCGTACCCAGTCTCGCTCTTTCCAACCTATCTACGCTCGTGCCGCGCGCAACCCACCCTCGAGTTTCTCCTCGTTTTTGCACGAGGGGAGATACACCCCACGACGTGTGCGCCACCCTTGCACCACCACTACCATCATAGTCGGCGACAACAAGTAGACGACGTATATATCGCATCGTCACTATGCAGCCAATCTTCCGTAGGAATTACTCCCTTCTTCTCTCTCTCTCTCTCTTTCTCTCTTGAAACAAGGGGAGGAAAAGAGTTCTTATATACGTTAGTCGTAACGTAAGCCAGGAACGAGGCTCGGGAACGCAGAACCCCGACCAGCTGCTGTTCCCCCTTCGATTTTTGCGGCAGCCCCGGGACGTGTTTGTGTGAGTCTGTATACACGCGACGCTGCGCCGGAAGCGGTACGGCGCGATAAACAGCGGCGGAGAGTTTGTGCGAAGTAGAGATTTACAGATAGCTTCGTGTGCGTTACGTAGCTGCGAGAGGTCGACGACCGGATCGAGAGTCTTTGCCGGTCGATCTCGTCTCGGTTGATTCCCTTGGGAAAGTTCGACGACGCACGTGTCGCCGTTGACGTAAACGCACTTCCTTTTGTATATTCATTCTTATTGTCCACATTATAGAGCAAATTGCGGAAAATTGTGGAGAAAGTTGGAATATTGCCGATTCTCTGAGAAAATTTTGTAATTGTTGTAAGTTTGTGAATTTGAAGAATATTTTATTTGTATTAAATAATTTTATTGAGAAAATGAAAAAATATAGATATTACTTAGCGAGTGAATTAACTCGGAAAATATGATGATTAAAGTTGCAAGAATAATTCACCGCTTTTATAGCGAGCCTGGTGAATGCGAGGTATTACAGCGCAGCTTCCTTGCTTTACATTTTTCCAATCTGCTTTTTAAATCAGGCTAGGCGACCGAGTCTACGTAGCGAGTTTCAAATACGCGGTATAACATAAATTCAACTTTACGCAAAGCACCGGTGTGTACGTACTAAGAATACAAACTCATCGTTTATAAAGGCAAAGCGAAATATGGTGACTTACAATACACCATTTACAATATATTGACATTGACGAAAAATTTATTACTAATAACCTTTAATTTTTTTCGTTTGCTAAACTGTAAATTGCGTGCAGATATATTTCACCCTATATTTTTGCATTCTCTTTTAATTATTAAATTGGTCAATCGCTCTTTCTTCCTAATTAAACGTTGCAATATGTTTAGCTCAAAATTCTGTTCGAGCAAACTGTACCTATATAACAACAAATCTATACAATAATTACTTAGTTTAGATAAATATTTGAATCGAAAAGATGGTTTAATTACATCGAACGGGCCATTTTTGTTATATAGATTTTTCTCTTCCGTCCCGAAAAATGCCCTTCTCCGACGAAAGTACAGAGCGATTAACGGCTGCGATACTGCGCAAACAATTCTGCGCCCTACGCCATTGACATCGTCAACACATCGCTCGTGGCACGCGCGCGTGTCACGCATGCACAACCACAACGAGCGACCTGCAGGAATCGAGAACCGACATCAGCACTCTCGAGGGGTAGCTGTGCAACCCCTCGCACAGACAGACCATCACCATCACTATCAGCAGCAGCAGCAGCAGCAGCAGCAGCAGCAGCAGCAGTAGCAGCAGCAACAGCAGCGCCACCACCCTTCAATTCCATATCCGTAGGGGAGCCGCAACGGAGGGACGCCGGGGGTTGCTGCTGACTGGTCGAGTCCGCAGCGGGATAACGAGACCGACCCTATAAGCTAGACGGAGATGGCGAAGCTCGCGGAGAAGGGGTAAAGAGTCGGAGAGGACGGTAACGCGGAGCGGCAGCGCCACCGACTAAACAGTCGCACCCCGTCGTCGCCGTCGTATTCGAGGCCACCCCCTGTCACTGGCGAGAGCCGCGACAGGGAGCGACCGAAAGAGTAACGGACGGACGGACGGACGGACAAACGGGTCTTGAGTCAGTCAGTCAGTCAGTCAGTCAGTCAGTCAGTCGGTCCTCTCAGCAAAAGTCTCGAAGTGCGGAGGATAAGCCACCCCTAGACTCGCGCAAACACACATACCCATACGCATACTTGCACACAGAGACACGTGTATATATATATATATATATATATACACAGGCGCGCGCGCGCGCGCGCAGAGACACACATACACGTATACACAAGTACACATTTACCGCAAATCGCGGAAGAAGAAACGGTCCAGGTAGGAGTTCTCCTTCATCCACCATCCACCATCGAGGGGACGAAGAAGAGAAGCGAATTAAAGCTCGCAAGAAGAAAGCAAACAACACGCAGGCCGCGCGTCGGTGGCTGGCTGGCTGGCATGGTGGCGGTGGTGGTGCATCCGTTTAAGGAGCCGCCCTCGCCGCGCCGATGACGAGGCTGCAGGTCCCAGAGCAGCGCGTACCACGTAGGACGAAGGCGAAGCCGGCCAGCGAGCGGCCACCCAAGTGGTTCCGAGGTGGTTCCGACGACGGGCCGGGCGACGGACGGGCGCGACGTAGACGTCGACGTCGCGATAACGTCGGCGACCACGGCGGGGCAGAGGCCAGCAGACGCGCCGTAGCCGTGGTTATCGGTTCTGGTGGCGCGGTTCTCGGTGTCGAGCGTGGTGTCGGTGTCGCCGGTGGTGTCCCGCGAGGGTGGTGCTCCGTATCATCGGAGCCGTCGTCATCATCCCCGGTAGCTGGTCGACGCGATCCGCGTCACCACTATGCCACGCTGTCTCATGGCGAAAAAGTGGAAGTGGAATCAGTGGCAGGCCCGCGTGGACGATCAGACGAGCGAGCAGAAGGACGCGACGCCACCCGGGGCCGCGAATCCCCATCAGGAGCAGCAGGCGCAACATCACCTGCTGCATCAGAGCACCGCGGACGCGATGGAGAAACGCTCGCACAGGCATGAGTCGATCGAGGACGAGGAGATCGACGTGGTCGGGGACGTCGATAATCATCAGGTAGACCATCAGCAGACCTGTTGGGGGCCGCACAGTCCCACGGCTGGGGCTACGGCCCCCAGTCCGCCGCCCCTCAACGCTTCCGGTGCTCTGTACTATCACGGTGAGTAGCTTTTTCTCTCTCTCTCTCTCTCTCTCTCTGCGAGGGGGATTCTCTCCTATTGCCCGCTTTTACGTGATGTAACGCGAGTGTAGGTTAGACGCGCCACGCCCTAGACCCAGGACCCTTTCCTTGTTGGGTTCGCGCAAAGGGCAGAATTTGTCCTTCTTTTCTTTCCTTTTTCGCTCTTTTTTTTTCAAGGGCTTCTCGCTAACATCCGGTGCAGTTTGGCCATGCGTCGAGCACGCAGGGTGACACACCCGCCTATTACAGACGCTGGCGTGCGCTATAGACAGATATTGCGGTAGCTGCTTGAACGCGCCATATTATTGTTATTATTATACGACCGTCCCTCGGTAATGCGGAAAGATGGGTTTGTCAACGGGCGCGACGCGCAACAAGCATTTTCGCTTTTCTTCCTACGGAAAACCGATCGCGAAATCGTCCATGTGTTCGCACATGTATATACGTATGTACGTACATGGCGACACACCCGTTCTGTATATCGTCGATCACGTCGACGATCACGTTTGGCACCCTTAACGTTGAGTCATGATCCCGATATGTCATTGTAGGCTATTGTAGTCAAGAGCTATTTCGTCCATCGCATTTATTGAGCTCTCAATCAGACAGGGAGGAAGCTGACTGCGTTTTGACGTAGCTGGTTGTTGTGTAACCACCAGTTATCCAGAACGGTCGAATTGCTTTTGTGACGTAGATGAATACGCCTACGATATCGGATTATGTCAAGTGAATTGTTTGTTGAATATTCTCGCGCCCGAAACCTGGTTTCTATTTATATGTACTTTGTACATCATAACTTTCAAATTTCGTACGCGCAAATTATATAATTATACGAGCGAAGAAGAATTCTGAATTTAATTCGTTCTCTCTGTAAATTTTTTACAAATTATTTTTAACAAGGATTTTTGTAACAAAAATAAAAAAATAAAAGTAGTTCAAATATACGTTCGTTAATCTAAATTTTTTTGTTTGAAATCTATATTATGTTACACACATCTGTATTCATGTGTTATTACGCTTTCGAGTATAAAGTTTGTACACAAGAGACTTTACAGAATAAAATATCAAAATTCTTTTTCTCTGTTAATTAAAATGTCAACGTTCTTTAACAGTAAATATTATCAAAATTATTAGATATATATATTATTATATATTTATAAAATACGAGGTTCTTGCATGAAATTACGCTATAAAAAATAAACGTATTGAAATTTTGCATGTGATTAGAGCGCCGATGCTTTGATCGCTCAGAGGTATTCTTGAAAGCCAGAGAGAAATACAGAGTAACAACCTCTTTTCTATCTCATTTATGCTGCTTATAGGCACTAGATTGCGCACGTGTTCACACAATGGCGCAAATGACGTTATGTAACAAGTGTTCTCTTTATCACTATAACATGCGCCACGATCTGCCTATACAATCGTTATTCTGTCAATTAATTTTTATAACTAAAATTTAAAATTTGATTCTGCCGCAATATTCACCAAAGCCGAAATATATTTGTTTTTTCAATAAATATTTAAAGTTGGTTATCTTTATAGTTAACATAAAGCGACGATCGACATTGTATAATTTTATATTTATTTTTTTCAGTTTTTTAAATCTCTTAAAAGAATATTTTATAACCAAGCTCTAGATTCACGCAACAAAGAGTTATGTGCACGATTCATTGTCAACTATTATTTAGATTAACGTTTGGTATACATACACTTGCAAACAGTATACAAAGAATTATAAAAGAAGAATTATAAAAAGGAAAATCAAGTTGTACGCAAGTTTATCTATCATCACAGAGATTAAAATATCCAACAAGATTACAGTCACGTAAGAAAAATATAAGAATGTACGTTTACTAACAGGTTTCTTCGTCCTTGACTTTCTTGTTGTACGATAACGATTGGTTTTTACTCTTTCGATAAGGTAATATATAAGGCCTCGCCATTTCTGATCATTCATGAGATAAAATGTGAGGGCAGTCAATAATATTTTTTACAGCAAAAATGTCTCGGAAGAAAAATTACTACACATTAATTCTTAAAGAATTTATTATAAAAGCTACAATTTAATTTAAAAATAAAGACTTAAGTCATCCCAATTCTATCGATAGAATTTAATTAATAAAGTTTTATTCTGGTTGAAACTTTAACTTATATTTTTATGTTTTTGGTTTATTCAGACATCCAATACGATACATGTTTATGGTCAATATTTACTTTTGTAATGGAATAAAAAGAATAGAATAGAAAAATATGTAATGTTTTGTTATCTCCTCGAAACGCGACAAGCTTATCAAAAGCTACTTTTCTTTTTTTTTACAACTTAAATAATTTAAAATAAGTTTTTAAAAATATTGGCAAATGAATATTAATAGCTTTTGGAAATAATTTGACGACATAAAAGTATAAATTTTTACCTAATTACAAATGATTTGATGGATCAAGTATAATTTATACTTGCTGTTTGTTTTGCGCTCACAGGGTCGATAAAGATCAGAGGCGATAAATCTACAGGAATGTGCGGAATGTTCATTCAAGGTATATAAATATGCTTTATGGGCTATATCTGTGATCTGTGATAGATAACGTAGATATAGAGAATCCACGTAGAATTCATAGATAATTCATGTCACTTTACACCGCTCTCTATATAATGATTCCATTATTTCCTAATTGTAAGACGTTAAATCAGATAGAGTCGGTAATTGCGTCACCAATCGATAAAAATGTAATTTAATCAGGATAAGACTATACTCTGTTCGCTGTGATAAAAAAGCATCTTTTTCTCACTTTTATTATTAATATACCAACAACATCACGAAAATAGTAAATCTTCATTCATATAGTTCTTTATATGTACTCTTCATTAATCGAAAGGAACCATAACAAGTTTATTATTTAAATCAAATTACATCGCATCAATAAGTAAGTACAATGATACGATAATAATGAAATATAAGAACGAAACCCTACAACATTCTCTTTTTTCTTCGTTATGTCTTTTATAGAGACTATCTCTTTTACATATGTACTTATATATGAATTCTGCGATAAATTGCGTGGAACCAATGACTGTTTCAACAACGAAATAGGTAAATTAATTAACAGATGACACAAACACACGATCCATAAATTTGTACATTGAAAAAATGTGTTAATTTCACTAGATCTTCCAACGAAATATTATTGTGTACTAATTGCACAGATAAAAATATTTAAATTAAATATAACATAATAAATCTACCAAAACATATATTTGACTTAAATACCAATATATGTTCATGCAATTAAATAACGAGATGGTAATTTAGTTGAAAGATTCAGTCGAGTTAACAAACTTTTTTTTTTCAGTGTACGATCTTTTCTCGAAAATCGAAAATCCCGTTTCCTCGAGCGAGAAGAGACAAAACGAAGGAAGAAATTAGACGTAAACGTTAATCGCAACGGAGATTTTTATCGGTCTTTAAAAGAGCCTAGAATCAACGGACTCGTGGGAGCGTTCATTCGCTGTTATTGATTCCCCCCTATACAACCCTCTCGCAACCCCTCCATCCCTTCTCGTTCCGCAACTGCTGCGCTCCTATTGCCGTTGATGAAATGCACTTGCAGACACGGCCATTCTCCTTTACCTCTGCGTTGACTTCTCTTTATTTCAGCCAATAATAGATACGCGCCAGCTGATCGATCGCGCGCGAGCAGCACACTTTTTCTCATTTATATTGTAAATTCGCCTTACAATTTTCCGTCTTCCTCTAGGACCCTCTTGTCTATCTAGGGTAAAAGTTGCGTTGACGTGTAGGATGCTCGATAAGAAACGTGCGTTTGACACACGTGACGCGGGACCTTTTTAGCAATTTATTCTTGAAAATATATAGTTAGAACGAATCAGTTTTTCAATTATGACTGATTTCAAACGAAAGTATATTTTTGACAACTACGTTGCAATCTTGCTTTTTAGCAAAGTGTAAATAGATTTGAATTTAAAAAGGAAAACAGATTTAAATTTTTGGATGCGATATGACACGTTGAATTAAATTTTAAGAAAAAAAAGTATATTAATTTTCAATTAATAAAATATAAATGCTTCATCTAAATAATTGATTATTTTTGAAACTGCAGTAGATGAATAAAAAAAGAATTTTGAATAACAATTTCTTTGAATAAAAGACATAATCAGAGTAGAAAATGAACAAATCAAATATTCGTAGCTATAAATGTGTTTCCAACAATAATATTTTTCTATGAGAAAAATAATCAAATTTCCTGAGTTATTCACCTGTTCTCTTTTCGCGATAATGATTGATTCAATCTAAATTCTCAAACCGTTGAAATGAGAGATAGAAGCACTCGTTAATTAGTGTCTACATAATATAGTGTATTCGCTGCTTACGGCATAGACTTTCGCGTTACGTAACCAGCTGGACGGCACGCGTATCGATTTCACGGCGAAAGTCGTCCGTTGCGTGCTTTGTCTACATTGTCGAAAGCAATAAAAGAAACACAAACGGGATTTAGAAGGCATCAATAACTAATAACGAGGTAACGAATTCGAATTGTAAGCAGCAGCGACTTAAGGCCACGCGAATTTATCCAAAACTTGCTTTCGAGATTTGCAAATCTCTCAGAGTAATTTTTTTCCGTTACATTATTTACCAATTTTTGCTTTGCTGTTATTAAAAGTTACTGTTGTGATTCGATAGCTTATGCCAATTTTGATTAAATTTTAACACACATATCCAATCAAATCATTAAATCATTCCACTTAATTCGTAGTAATAAAATGACAATATGTACTTTGAATTAAAATGATTTCAAAATTCATTCAAACCAAAATCTCGCGTAGAAGGAACCATTGAAATATTATCCAATTTCTTAATGTTGCCGCTTCAATGAATCTGTTCATTACGTGAAAAAAAAAAAAAAAAAAAAAAAAAACCAACAACCTGGGAAAGCGAAATGGTCGAGCAAGCTGGTATTTTAATTGAAACAGAGTTTAATAATATATGTTCCTTGCACGCGTATACAACGGCGTGCTGGAAACTCGGAAGTGCGCTCACAGAAGAATACGCTGTTATATACGCGAGAGGCACTGTTTCGCGCACATTTCGCATGAATCTTCCGCATGGTCCCACACAGTCCTACACCCGAACCCAAGCAACAGCAGCGGCGCGAATTTCGCTCTTTACCCCTACCCACCAACCCCTTGTCGTGGAACCGCCCCTGCGCAACAGCGAGCGGCGCGCAACAGATACAACAGATCGCGTTATTATACACCCCCACGTTCACGTGCCACGTCGAGTCGCGCCGCCACCTCCTGCTGCACACAACCGACTTTTTTTTCTCCGTCCCCCTTTTATATCCTTTAATGACCGTATACGGTGGAAACAGCTGGCGCGCAGGAAATGAAACGCCACGCAACTCGTTTGAGTGATTCACGAATTCAAATATTCATATCGCCCCGAGACGAATGAGATGTTGTACCGTGCGTGTTGCACCTTCGTTATACCCTTCCGTTGCATTGCGAGAAGAGGGGGTTCATTAGAGGAAATTCTCGAGCAATTATTTGCAAATTAAATAGCAGTTGTTATATTCGTTTTCACTATAGGAACTTTCCGATACACTGTCATGTCATATATGCTTGTCCGGTTTATGATCATAGGTACGAGGTAGATGTTATCGAAACTTTAGCCAAGTAACTCATCAATAAGTTGCGTAATAAGTAGATGAAACAATGTTTCAAGATAATTGACGAATTTAGTAAATTTAGTATAATCAGATATGTGTACAGAGAGCAGGGTAATAACGAAAATGGCTTAATTCATTTCACAAATATCGCAACGCGAGCAAACTAATAGAGCCCTTTTTCGTATATCTCGTACGAGCAGTAGAGTAATAATTTTCGGCTTAAAGCAAGTGGAAGATAAAACCCTTGAAGAGCACAGGCCTAATCAAATAAAGTCACGAGGGCCTATCTCATTGGATTAATCTACCATCTCGCTATACCCATTTCTAGGCTACACGCACGAGGCATGGATCAACCACGAGGAGCCCCCGAAGTACGCGACGTTGCGCTCAGCGGCGGAGCTGGCGCGTCCGATAGCTCCGTCGCCGCCACCTCCGGCAGCGCAGCAGGAGCTTCCGGTTCCGGTCCTGACCGGGGGACCGATCCTGCATCAGAACACGAGCCCGTCGTCGTCATCGTCATCATCGCCGTCATCGTCGTCTTCGTCCGTCGCGTCTCTGTGTCTGCCACCGCGCAAGAGTCTCTCGATGTCCTTCACCAGCACCGGCGCGGCGCTATCCTTACCGCCGAAGAAGAAGGACATCTACCGTCCTTACAGCCTGCAACCGATCTCCGAGATCCGCACGTCCGCCGAGGAGGACCTGTCCGCCGCCCAGGCGATTCTGGATCTCAGCGCGTCGCCCGCCGCGCCCACGCATTCCGTTTTCATTCACACTCTGTCGCCGCCGCCTCCGCCACCGCCGCCGCCGCCGCCGCCGCTGCCGCCGCCGCCCGCCGCCGCCGCCGCCGCCGTCGTCGTCGTCGCGCCGAACGCGACCGCGACCGCGCAGCAGCAGCAGCAGGCGCAGCAGCTACAGCAGCAGCAGCAACAACCGGCACCGACCGCGGGCACGCAGCAGCCTATACCGGTCTCCGTGCTCGTGCCGGTGCCCGCTTCGCAGACCAATCAGTTACGTCAACAGGAGCAGACGCCGCCGCAGCCGCAGTCGCCGGCAACCGCGGAGACCGCCGGCGGAAACTGCAACAACGTCGCCAGGGATAGGTGAGTGTGATTTTGCAAATTTTCTACCCGGGAATTTTCCCCTTAGATTTTACCCTGAAAATCATGGTAATCGTATAGGACACGATATATGGTGTTGAAAGAATTTTATAAGAATTTTCTTCATTAATGTTTACCGCAATAAAAAATATTAATATGTACATGGTAAAATTAATCGAACATATTTTATATATTGTGGCAGATATTAATATTTTTTATTGCGATAAATATATCAATCAGGGACCCATGTGGAAAATTGTTAAGGCAAAAATGTCGGGTCCTTTAAGAGCTTAAACGTGGAGTTCCTATTAGGGATTTCCACATTAGTGCCAGATTAGATCCTAGTAAAGTGATATCAGTTTTGAGCTAATTTAATGTATGGTCTGAATAAGGAAACCAACAAGGATCCTGATAAGGCTTGATGCTCTCGATGGAAAAGCGTGACCGATCTTATTGGGCTTTCACATTAGGACCCTAACAAAGTTAGGAAAAATTAACAGGAGCCTTATCAAAGCTTTAACACAATTTCCACACCGGGAAACTCATAAAATTCTTCCAATACCATATTGTGCCACAATTATCACGATTTTCAATGTAAATTCCAAGAGAAAATTCGATCTGTGTACGTTTGATTAGAACCCAAAACCTCATATCCACGCGATCTGTATCTGTCCCAATATAGCAATACCACCGCAAGCAGCAAGACTGTCGCCTACACCTACGAGGCCTTCTTCGTGTCCGATGGCCGGTCGAAACGTCGCGGAGGTGGCAGCGGAGGAGGCAGCAGCAGCAGCAACAACAGCAACAACGGTGCCGCAGTCCCGGATAAAGAAGCGAGCCAGCCGGACAGGCCCAAGTTCACGTGCACCGAATGCGGCAAGCAATACGCCACCTCGTCGAACCTGTCGCGGCACAAGCAGACCCATCGCAGCCTCGACTCGCAATCGGCCAAGAAGTGCATCCACTGCGGCAAGGCTTACGTCAGTATGCCCGCCCTGGCGATGCACGTGCTCACGCACAAGCTCGCCCACAGCTGCGGCGTATGCGGCAAGATGTTCTCGCGACCCTGGCTGCTGCAGGGTCATCTGCGAAGTCATACTGGGGAGAAGCCGTACGGGTGCGCCCACTGCGGCAAAGCGTTCGCCGATCGCTCAAATCTGCGAGCGCACATGCAGACCCACTCGGCTGATAAGAACTACGAGTGTTCGAGGTGCCACAAGACCTTCGCCCTCAAGTCCTACCTGAACAAGCATCTGGAGTCAGCGTGTCTGCGCGACGAGGAGATCCAGCAGCAGCAGCAGCAACATACCGGTAACAGTGCCACTCAGCAGAACACCAATCGAGGCTTGTAGCAGCGCTTCGAGGAGGGAAACAACGACGTCACGAGGATCGAGGGGTCAAGAAAGAGCTAGCGGTGCCCCGTGATCGCCGCTTGATTGCGAAGAGGCACCAGGATACGAAGAGCGAGGGAAGGGATATAAGGTTTGCCGTAGATTTTAAGTAGAAAAGTGCCAGTAGAGACAGAAATGAGAGAAAGAAAGAGAGCGAGAGAGAGAAGAGAGAGAGAGAGAGAGAGAGAGAGAGAGAAAGATGGAAAAGAAAGAATGATGTGAGTAGAGAGTTAGAAGGAACGAAAGGGAGCAAGAGAGAGGGAGAGCGTGAGTTTATTAATAATGTCTAACATTAATAAAAACGTCCAGTAATGTTAAGTCGTAAATGAAAAAAAAACACGTCGAACGATGACGTCCACACTGCAGAGTCTAGTCACTCTAGTCGATTATATATACCTATTACATTATGATATTATATTATTATATATATATTATAGTATATATATATATATATATATATATATATATTTACTAGCGCGTACGATAGTCCGCGAGCTCGTTACGAAGACATTATTTATTAATACTTAGCTGCCTAAATTTAAAGAAAGAGATGAAACGAAGAGAAAATAAACCGAAAGAGATTTGACAGGATCCATAAATCGCGAATCGCAATCGATAATCGTTGCTGAATCGCTGTGACACCGAGACGCGCGAATGTGATCGACTTGTTTATAATTTGCTGATTCTCATTTTGCAAAGAAAGAATAATATCGCGATTATTTCCAAAATCACGTGAGGATCGATCGATTAAAAATTAACCCATCTCTGCTGTTGCTGGTATCTTCAAGTATCTGCGCGACAACTGATCATTCGGAGTCCATTTCCACGAGTATTAACTATACTATTTAAATAATTATAATAAAATTATATAAAATATAATTAATGACGCAATGTGTCATAAAATCATGGTTGTTCAAAGTTACTCGAAGCTATACTATGTCGAAGCAGAGAAGGGTTAACGCTCGCGTTCAGTGGTTGCGCTTCTTTAAAAATTTCATCGAGTTTAATCCATTGGTGGACATTGGGAGACAGAACGACGAAAGCTATGACTGATCGATAAGCGCAATAACCGCGCAGCGACTGGTTCGGAGTTACGGACACGTCATCCTTCGACCTCAAAGATAAAGGTCGAACCAAGTATTTTTGGAGATTCTGAGAGGGTATACATCAAACTGAAAAACTTTATGCTTTTATATAGCATATCCTCTCTTTTGCAATTGTTTTTTTTTTTTTTTTTATCAAAGTCTACACCTGCGTGTCTCGCACGATTATGCGATTTACGACGACACGATTATGTCGAATCGACGACGAATATATAACGCGGGGAAAATACGCGGTCTCTCGCGATCGATCGACCGATCGATCGATCGATCGCGGACGCGAAAACGCGCGTTCGGCATCGCATTATATTAAACGGATCCTCACAACGTACTTAGAGCAAATTCGAGTAATAGACGCGTGTAACACATTGTTATACAACACATATTTTATAGAGGCAATATAAGAAAAAATAAATAAATAAATAAATAAATATGACGCGACAAGTACGGTCAAAGCAATGTTTCGACACAACGAATTATATAATTATACGTATAGAGGCAAACATCGAAGTTTAACCAAGTTTCGAGCAAGATGATGTGCTTAGGCATGATGGAGAACGATCGCCCGATCCACACCTCCCTCTCGTATTAATTAACTTTGATGCTCAGAAAACTTCTAACTAAGTCGAATCAATATTTTATTTAAAGTAGTAAGTAGTTTGTTTTATAATTTTTGTAATTTTTGAAATTGTATTCTCCATTACGTTCTTAATTTTATTATATTTCTGTGGACTCTTACATTCCTGTATTCGCATAAAAATAATAATATAAATTCGTTTATTGATATTAAATCAGAATATTCAGAGAAAATTAATTAATTCCACGCGAAACGTTCTACGCAGTTTATATGCTGGATTCAATATTTAATCAGGAAAAAAAACCATTAATCACGTTTGCTGATGAATATATTACAATTACATTAGATGCAGATCAATGTATCGAGTTATGTGATCAGAATAAATTTGTTTGTATCGTTTCATAATTGGATCAGCTATATATATGCATCATATAAAATAATAATTATTAATTTCTCGATAACGCGGTTAATTAATTTTTCCACATTTTAAATTGAAATTGGTAGTAAATAGCAACGCGTACATATTTAATCGCGAGAATAAAATTGTTTTCCAATAAGAAAAAGGAGCGATTCGGCGGGGTGTGGATCCGCGCTTTAAAGTCGCGCCCAGCTTTCTAAAAAAATAACAACTAAAGAATTAAAACAATTATAATGGCCGACGAGCATGCGAGCGATCTGCCCGATTTTTTTATTTTTTGCACCGATTATATCGCGAAAAAGCGCGATGACAGCATTTCGCATGTACAGTAGAGAGAATCTCGCCGCCAAAAAAAGAAGGACAGAATAAACAATATTTTTCGCTCGTAGCTCGTTCAATTCGCGAATCGATTCTTAGGATCGACCAGCAATGCTTGACGCGCAACGGAGCTTTGTTCGATTTTTCCTTTCCTTTCTTTTATTGAATTCTATCTCGCGCGCGCGGCACTAACCATCGATAATTAATTAATACGCGCCACGCTGCTTCTAATGCGTGTATACATATAAATAATATGCGGCTTTAGAAAGCAATAAACGATTAAGCAATAATAACTTATTCGCGTAGCGCACACAACGAAAATCCGCAATATTGCGCGTCAAATCGCGCACTTGACTCGCATACATATGTATATCTCGTATATTACGTCCTTTTGTTGTTTCATTTGTACTTGTACTCTCGCTGCTTCGTTCGTTTACTTATTATTCATTTATGTACTCCTGCGTTCTCTGCGCTTATTTATTTGTATACATCGAAATGCCGTTTTCAATAGTCGCTATATAATTATTCTTAGTTCGAATGTGTAATTATTTATATTTATTATTATTGACGGTTTGTGTCAAGATATTGAAATATAGAATGAGAATGTGAGAATAGATGAACGCGCATAAAAAGTATACACGATTCCTAAAGATGTGCAAAGAGTTTTTTTGTGCATTATCTCTCAGATTTGTGATTCGAGCCAATTTGTTGTGATATCTTGGCAAGCTGTCATATATTTTTAGCATTAATATTATTCCATAATTATTATTATTTTATATTATATATTATTTATTTTTATTTATTATATCAGCATTATTATTATTGTGCTAGTACAACGATTCGATACAACGATCGATATCCATATGTTACAAGCATATAAAAGCTAAAAACATGTGCAATTTCCATTTTAATTGTAAGTGGAAAACGCCAGCATTCCGTGCGATAAGCTACTTTACTTAAGGTAGTGTCTCGCGTGTATAGTTATTAGTCGATACACTTAAACTTCCGGATCGTGGTAATATATATATATGCATATAGCATACATTTATATAAATATATATTATAATACTCAAACACAAAACGTCCCTTCGCTGGAGGTTAGAGATGCAAAATCTTGGAGCAATTCTAGACGTTTTACTAAAGAAAAAAAAATGACAGCTGACTCAAGTAAAATTTAAAAAATGACCATCTTCTACAGAAATCCAATACGCGTGTTTGTCTATTTTAGTCTACTTAAAAATTATTTTTTTATCAATTTTATTATCTCTTTCAACGAAACAATACAAAAAAAAAATACAAACATAAAGAATCATGCCACTTAATTCGTGGCATTTTGCAAATTATTTACTATACCTATCTGGCTAATCCTACAGACCGATTTATATAATTTTAATGTAAATTATTATTTGAATTTCGAACAGTTTCGAAATCTAATAAGCCACCGGTCGTGGGACACTCTGTATATAGTCACAATTTCATAGCTCGAGCGTGTATAGAGATAGAGTGCTCGTCAGACTTAAATGCTATTTATGAAAAAAGAAACCGGAGAGCTTTAAAAGGGAGGCTACGATCGAAAGGGAGCATATCCACTTTGTTTGTCGCACGATTCGCGCGTAGAAAATCGAACAACGCCGTAAAACGCCGATTAAAGAAGAGCAAGTCGGTGGACTATAAGTCGTGATTAGCGAGGGTTCGTTGTGGGAATTGCGCCGGTTCGTTAGACAGTCATCTAGTCAATTTCTTTCCTCGTTGCACGAATGATTGTTACTCGATAAGAGAAGCAGAGTCACGCGCCCGCTGCCGGGAAAAAAACTTATATTCCCGACGATTTATTTTTTTAACCCATTTTAAGGATAGCAATTATATATGACTATAGAATTGTGAAATTTGTAGAGAGAGAGAGAGAGAGAGAGAGAGAGAGAGAGAGAGAAGAGAGAGAGAGAGAGAGAGAGAGAGACAAATTAAAGGATTTATTAAAATTACAAATTCCCTTCCCTCTTCGCCCTTTTCAAACGAGACAATGCGATGTGTAATGAACGCTACATAATTTAAATTTATAATTATAGAAAAAAAGAATGAGAGAGAAAAATTTTCCTACTATTCAATTCCTATCTTTCTCTTACTGTCACTAAATTCTGCACAGTATAGATATTGATTTGGCAACATGATTTGCAAAATTATTATATCTATGCGATCTTTAAACACACAAACATTACCAAGTACTCAGAAGTACTGTATCTTTCTATGATCTCAGACTATCATCTTTCGGAAGATGCGACGTTCCAAAAACATCGTCGTACTTTGCGTATTTTTCCTTTCGCGAATACATGTCATTGCCTTAAAATGCCAACAACAGGGCGGCTACTCCTATAGCGAATTTCTCGGGCCTCGCCGATAGCGTTTAAAGTCGAGGAACCGTCTCGATTCATGAAGCTCAACCATGTTATCGTAAAATCGATGTTACTTAGAGGTGCTCAAAGAAGTGTGTACAAAAACGAACAAAGGAATATAGATAAACCGTATTAAATTGGACGGTATATTTATTGATAACGAAAGAAAGAGAGAGAGAGAGAGGCGAATATATTTAGCGCAATAGGGGCTCTATATATATCGGACGTAGAAGAGGAAAATAAATTGCGTCTCTCGTAGCCGATGTTGTATGTACATAATCCCAATCTTACTCTTGCACTCCTTAATCGCGGGATTATAGTGATACATAAGACGTATAAGTTCTCTTCTATACTGCTATATTATACTGCTATATTATACTGCTATATTATATCGAGACATAAAACGCGATTGGTCGCGGGAAGAGCTGCCCTCCTCGCAAAAAGTGCACCGTCGATGCGCGAATATATAAGATTCTCTTTCATTTCGGCCGAAATAAAAAGGATAATTTCACTTGATTGACGATTCACCATGTGACGGGCATCATTTATCGATTTATAGAATAATTTTGCTGTTGAAAATTTCCCTCGAATACTTCTTCTTCGTTATTATATGTATTATCGAAGATATCTTAGTCATTTTTGCATAAGATTAAATTTTTCCTGCCTAAAGTTTCGACTTTTCATTAATCAAATTTATCCGTCAATGGCGCGCAAAAGCTCAAGACATTTTTATCGCTTATCGTGACGGTGTGATACGCGAGTAATGCATGAATAATAAATAATCGCAGGCATCGTTGCGTAACATGAGAGACCACCTAAAGTTATATTTATATACTCGATATATATATATATATAATATTATGCATTATATATAAATAATAAAATGTACATTTAAATAAAACGTAACGATAACGTAATTAGCAGTCCACGTACTAATTAATCTAATATCGCCTGATATCGTCTTTAATAATTAGGGCATCGTTGCGAAATAATGATAGCTCGGCGAGGAATAAAAAAATAAGCTCTTCTCGCGATCGAAACCTCGAATCCTTCTACTTTCCGCTTCGATCTTGGAAACTCGGCTCCCAACAAGGAAAGTCCTCTCACGTAACGTGTGCTCGACAATGAGTCGAGGTCAGAATCAACAAGGTCGAAGTGCGCACTCTTCGTGACAGGCAACTTCAGGTGACAGGACTATGAAAGCGCGCGTGGGCGGGTACTTTTGCGCGATTAACGTCATCAACGGAGATTCTTCTACGCATGCAAAGGCCTGGTCTTAAATAGAGTCGTAAGTCGTAAGAAATTGGACAAATCACAGTTAATAATTTCAAATATAATCAACCGTGATTGGTCAATTTAATTTAATTTCTTACGACTCTATTGTAGACCAGGCCTGTCGCAGCATATATATATGTACACATACACATACATGTACACAGGACATAATATACACGATAATCATCTCTTCAAAGACTACTAAGAATTCTTCTCATGGGCGTCAGCAGAGGGGGCATTTGCCCCTTTTGGAATCGGTAAAAAAAATTAAGCGTCTGATGAAGAAACACTAGAATTTATTTGCAATTTTATATAATATAAAAATATAAAATAAAATAATGAAAAAATTGAATTAAAAAATGAAGAAAGAATAATGATAAGAAACAAAAAATTATAATCATGCCCCTCCTCCAGGAAAAAATCCTGCGGACGCCCATGGTTCTTCTACTCTCCTATCTCTCGAGGATCCTTGCACCTTCGTGGTTTTAAGGTAAAATTGAGGAAATTTCGGTACAATCTAATTAACAAGCTCGTCGCCGTGAAAATGGCCGCGTCTTTGCCGTCTGCGCGTCCCTTTTGTTTAATTACGTGTGTCTCTGAATCCGACGATTCGCCGTATTCTTTATCGACCTGATATCCAAACCTGCCGTTTAATTTCGCCGTAATACGAATTAAAGCGAATCCGGCCGCGCTCGGCCTGTAAAACCCAAACGTTGTTTTTAATTCACTCGCATGCACGTACGAGGCGAATTCGCGCCCGCGTCATTTTGTTTTAATCTATCTTTGATTTAACTTTAATTTAGCTCGCACACACAGTTCGCGACCGTCATTTCGCTCCAATTTATCTTTGATTTAATTGCAATATCCGACCGCGCCGCGCGCTTGACCGTCGTTTTATTTCAATTTATTTTTGATTTAATTGCGATTTCCGTCCGCGCCGTTATTTCGTTTTAATTTCGCAAGCGACGTCCAAATTCCTTCTCGCCACCTAACTCCGGTTGCGTCGTACGACGGCGCGTTTTTCGCGCGCGGAAAATCGAATCTATCGAGAATATAGAATTTTCATCCGGAGCTGCAAAATCGCACGTGACGGATCACGCTTATCGCGGTCGAAGCTTGAGGGCCAAATCGGATTGTGTAATGAAAAATTCGCGGAAAAAATGGAGTGGAAAAAAGTGTGACGTTATTATCCTTCACCCCTTCCCTTCCCGACGCGACCGGGTTTTTTCATCCCTCGGAAAGAAGAACGCGATTCGCGCAGACACACGTCCGTCGATTCGATTTCATATCGCGATTGCATCGCGGCTGATCGATACGCGGCCGCGAGTATACAATTCCCGCTAATTGGCGACGACAGCTTGCGTCATTTTTTCAAGACACGCACTGAAAAATATTGTTTTCTACACTGAAAACAAATTTGTTGACTTGACTAAACCTTTCAACTAAATATTATTTTGTTAATTGAATAATCTATAAAAATATTTAAATTAAATATAACATATTAAATCCAACAAAACGCGTATATTTGACTTAAATACTAATATATTGATTTCACGAAATAGTAATTTAGTTGAAAAGTTTAGTCAAATTAATACATTTTTTTTAATGCTTTCTCTTAAATTAAAAATATACTCTTAATTTTCTTTTTGCGACTTCAATTCCGCAGGAAATAAATATAATAAATTTAAAAGAAATTAATAAAATAAAATAATTAAAATTATTCTAATAAATTTATAATAAATTTCGCCGTCGTCGCCTATTTGCGAAAGAGAAGACGCGAAAATTTTCACGGGGCGCGAGAAATGTCGACTTTCCATCATTTTCCACGTATATAATATATAACTCTGGTTCTTTTCTGCAGACTTCGGATTTCTCTCTCGGCGCGCGCGACGCGACAAGATTCTCCTCTCGGATATTAAGATAAACTGTGTTAGACACAGACCAGATAAAAACGATGCGTCACGCATTTCGTAATTCCTTCCAGCGAGAGCCTTGACAATTTTTTAAACCGTTTGCTAGTTGCCTTAGGCATAAGTGAGAAGTGAATGAAAAGCAAAAAAAAAAAGATTAAGAAAGAAACGGAGAGCTAGAGAGAGATAGTGAAAAAACGA